ATCAACTGTTTTAGGCGTGAGATACACTCAGGAAAGCAGCTGGGGGACCACGGCATCCAGCCCAACCATCCCCGACTTCATGAAAGAAAGATAAATTCATTTTTTTTTTCGTTTTCCTTTCTTTTCATATTGTTGCCGCGTCTTTCTTTTCATATTGTTGCTGCGACTGGCCCCTGTACCTACGACCTGCCTCCGACGCGGTCGTTCGCGTTAATGGCCGCGTCGAAAAAACTTAGCTGGGCGAGGTACTGGAGGTTGAAGCGAGCGACAATTTCGAAATAGGAGTTGGCGGGCGCGGGTTCGCACTTGTGATTGGAGTAAAATAGTTTGATCTGGAATGTTAAAAGTTTGCACAAATTGGTGGTTATATTATGAAAGACATGTATGATCGATGCATGCCCCTGAGAATGGTTGCTTGCCTATTCCGCCTCTAGGCCTATTATAATAACAGTCCAAAGAATATGGCCTTGTAAAAGGTCCCATGATGTAAGCCCAATGTGTGGGAACAAATGCGTGACATTCCCTGTCAGAAAAAAGGGAAAAAAAAACAAACAATTTGGGTCTAGGCTACCAGTGTGGCCCGGGGTCACTTGCCCGGCCGGGCCAAAAAAAAAAGAAAAAAAAGTTCTAAAGTTTACTTTTTATTATAAATTTGGTGCAGAATTTCGATGTGACCCTGAGGCAAAAGTTGTTAACTTATATTTTTCTATATAGCAATGATAGCATAGTTTTTTTTCGGATTTTTTGGATTTTTTGGATTTTTTTTTATTTTTTTATTTTTTTTTTTTTTATTTTTTATTTTTTGCTTGGACCTTCCCTGGTCCTTGCACGGACTGGCCACCCGGGACCCCGGCGGCCCGGCTGGTAGCCTAGATTTGGGTACACTAAGGATGTTTGATCCAGCACTGGATCTCGCCCCTGCCCTGGATCGATAATTTGACTGCGGAAAAGACAGGCACGATCAACAGTTCTGCCTCGCGCGCCATGCGTGCCGTGCGAGTCGAAAAATAACAAATGTCCTCCGATGGCACTTTATCTATCTACTTCTCGGGACCTTCTGGGAGTAATAACAAATGTCCTCCGATGGCACTTTATCTATCTACTTCTCGGGACCTTCTGGGAGTAAAGGAAGTTGTTGTATCTTCCTCCCTTTGTCTTGCCATGACCAGGTGTACTTGTGCTGCATGGGCGGATTTTGGGAGGCTTATGGATGGTCGTACTAAAATAATAATGGGATTTTGTTGCTCAACTCAACTAGAATTCAATATCCATTTTTTATTGTTATTCTCATCAACATAAGGCCTCGCCACAACACTGCCGAAACGAAAAACGAGAAAAATGCATAATCCCGCAGACAAGGGCAGGGTACATCCGCGTTGCTATGAATAGCAACGCATGCATCTTACCATTTTCCACGGAAAGATGCATTTGTTCTCTTTTCGTTTCGACAGTGCTGTGGCGAGGCCCAAATAGCGTAAACTCTTGACAAAGCAAGCAGCTTCCTGAAACTCCTAGAGCGTAAAGTTGCCGTAAACTGAATTATGATTTCGTCTCTGAAAAAAGGATACAAGACAAATAGATTGCAAATATGCGTTTATGGTGTCAGCCTGACAGTGGCAGCCAATCCTTAATACATTCCAAGAAAGGGAAATGTAAAGAAGGACAACAGACAAAAAGATTGCAAATATGGATGTGTGTACAAAAAAAAAAACCAGTTGGATTGTGTGTACAAAACAAGCAAATGTTGCACAGCAACAACCTTTTGGATACTGCTTCGGAAAACATGCTCGCATGGCAACAGAACCACTGCAGCAGACTCGAAGTATGCAGCTCTGGGCTCGATGCACCACTCACCGAAAGTGCAGCCTGGAGAATAGGAGAATACATTACATGTTCCTCGAGAACATGGAAAGAGATGCCTGCTATAACTTTTTCTTTTCTTTTCGCATTAAGCGAGTGGAGTGTGATGCCCTATTGCTATAGGCCGATGCTGCTTTAAAGTTTAAACCACTAGTATAACCAGACATCCCAAACCCACAATAAAAAAAAGGAGCGCAGCTTGTGCACAGTCAATTGTTTTTCAAATCTTTGATAGCTACTTTGCCAAAATGAATTAACAGATATAAAATATAGCTTTATGTTACTTAGCCTTCGATTTGATTGATGAAAAAAGCAAGGTGCGGAGCCTATGTTCCCCCCTGGCCGCGGCCGAGTTCGGTCGTAGCCGCGGCCGCCGGCCGTGGATGGGACCCCCCCGGCCACAGCCGCTCCGGCCGAGAACTTTCGGCCGCGGCCGTGACCGACCGGGGAGGGGGTCTTGGGAGCGGCGAGTGGGTTTCGAGTCGGGCGCAGCTCCCCTGCCCCCTCGCAAAAAAAAAAACATAAAAACTTAAAAAACGGGGGCGCGGAATCTGGGGATTTTTTGAGGGGGGGCGGATAATTTTGGGGCCGCAAAAAGAAACAACGATTTTTTTCAGTTTTTTTTTTTTTTTTTTTTTTTTTTTATTGATTGATTGATTGATTGATTGATTGCTGATTGATTTTTGGGGAAGGGGTCTCCC